ACCAGAAGAACTAGATGGTGAGTGGGCTACTACCATCAACCACTTGGAGGGGGATTTGTGTAGGAGATCCTGGATAAAGGTGGAGAAAAATGTGGAACAAAACTCCAAATTATAAAAGAAAAAGAAAAAGACAAGGTTTGCTGGTCTCATAGAGCCTGGTGAAACCCTTGAGACTATGGCCCCTAGCTGCCCTTCAGGTCTGGAACTGAACTCACTCCTGTGAGACTGGCATATGGGCTGAGCATTTACATCAGGTAGCCAGACTCCATGGAGAGATCAATCATGGGGGATCAAAAGGGCAGTGTACACACAGGGAGACCAGTCGGGGGGCAGGAGTGCACAGAAGGGAAGGACACAAGGAAGAGGAAAGTATGGGGAGGAAGTGGGAGGACAGTTGTTACACTGTAGGGAATTGCAGTCAACATCATGAAACAAAATATGTATGAACTGCCGTATGGAAAATGAATTTGCTCTGTAACCTTTCACCAAAATCACAATAAAAGTTTGGGAAAAAAAAAAAAGGAAAGACCTGGCAATCTGCTTCCAAAAGCAGCCACTGAAATCCCTACAGAACACAGTGCCACTCTGACATGCGAGGCTGCCACGAATCAGAAGGGACTCAACAGCACGTGATTAGCCTTGAGAAATGGGGTCAGGTGAACTTTTGAAGTATTAACTGATTACTTTTATAAGGCAAATTATATAGTAGCCAAAATTTCATATATTTTTTCTTTTTTAACCTAAAAGTAGTCTAAGATAAGCTAACCAAAAGTATTAGTATAGAAAGAAAAATGTAATTATTTGGATTCTTTTTCATGATACTGGGATTTATTCCTAAATACACCAAGCCTGTACTACAAAACTCAGAGACAAGTACCACCTTCCACCTCATGGCCCCTTTCTTCTCCTGAAAGGATGTTTTAGAGGATTCATTAAAACTCAGTCTGATGGAGCTGGGGAGTCAACCACAGAGAGAGAGGGGAAGGCATTCCAGGCACAGAGAGGCCTCCTGACCCTGGCCTGGGACTCTGCCTCTTGTGTGTGCCTCCCCCTTTGAAGCACTTCTTCTCTCCCCACACACACCACCCCTGATCCCCAGAGAACTACAGCCCCAAAGACAGGGCCTGTGACATCACCAGCACCAAGCACGGTGCCAGGCACAGGTGGGCCTACAAACATCTGCTTAATGAGAGGAGCCCAAGCTGCTTGCCAGAGAAACACACAGTTAGGAGGAGGCGAAATACTGTGCATTTTAAATGGTACATGACTTATATTTCACTAAGCTGTTCTTTAAAAAGGAAAGAATTAAAGAGGAAAAAAGGAAGTAGAAAGGAACACTCCAAACTTCTAGCTATTAAACTATTTTAAGAAAACTGAACTGAACGGTGAGGTACCACTTGCTCCAGCACTAGTAGCAAAGTTCAACAAGACAGGAAATAACAAATGCTGGCGAGGTTGTGGAGAGATTGGGACTCTCATACACTGCTGGTGGGACTGTAAAATGGTACAACCATTGTGGAAAGCAGTATGGCGA